TAAAGTTTCATTACTTGCAAGGTCATGAGATGGGGGGGTAGGAAGCACACAGGCACATGGGTCTGGGGTTCTGCTTTTATTGGAGCTGAGGCCAGGAGCCTAGAGTGTCATTGGCTCACTCTTTATTCATGAATTTAAAATACAAAAACTGAATTTAAAACTTGGAAAGAGTAAAAACAAGCAACTCAAATGTTTGGTTATTGAGATCAACTAAAATGTCTAAAATAAAGGCACCCAGTGGAGGGACGTGGTCTGTCTCTTTATCTAGCCCTGCAGCTAACAATGTTTATTGGAAACTAGAGGCCCAGTACATGAAATCTGTGCATGGGTAGGGTACCTAGGCCTGGCCAGTGAGCAGGGCTGATCAGGTCTTTTCAGCTGCCTGCAGGAGCCACCCTTCCCTGGCTGCTGGCACCATTCTGCACCACCCCCTGGTGGTCAGTGCACATCACAGTGAGCGATCGAACTCCAGACGGAACTCCCAGTAGAACTCCCAAGGGGACACTGTATATTAGCCTTTTGTATATAGAGAAGTAGACAGGCAGCCTTGAAGTGGACATCTCAGCAATAAAAGCGTAAGTGAGGCACAATACAAAAGAAAAAAAAATTATCAAAGTTTATTCTGCTAAGGTCTTACAGGTGAATGATTAAACAAATCATGATACATCCATACTAAGAAGTACTACTTAGCAATAAAAAGGAACAAACTATTGATACACACAACAACTTGGGCAGATCTCAAGGGTACTGTGTTGAGTGACAAAGCCAATCTCAAAAGTCACATACCATAGGACACCATTTATGACACCATTTAGGTAACATTATAAAAAACGACACAGTTAAAGACATAAAGAAACTACTAGTTGCCAGGGGTTAGATAGTGGGGAAGGAGTAGGCAGGTGTGACTACAAAGAGGGTGCATAAAGCAGATCTCTGTGATTATAAGACGAATTCCATATCTTGACTGTGGTGGTGATTACACAAGTATACCCCTGTGATAAATTGGTAAAGACCCGTACACAGACCAATATCAATTTCCTGGCTAAATGTAACCAGTGGGGGAAACTGGGTAATCTGTACACAGGAATCTCTCTGTGCTATCTTTGCAATTTACCGTGAATACATAATTATTTCAAAATAAAGCTTTAAAAAACACAATGTTAAATCATCCAAAAGTTTGTAAAACATGAGAGAATTTATAAATTTGTTGAAAAGGGTGATATAATGCCAAGTGAAAACCAAAGAGTGTTATGGGTGATTATGGTGCAGCCTAGAAAGAGCTAAAGAGTTTGTTCAATGCCCCCAAACAAATAGTTCAAACATTTATTGAGTACCTAGTATAAGCAAGATGGTATTGTAAACAGTACTGGGATTAAGAAAAAGAAATTAATTTAACTAAGAAGACAAGATAGAATAATTATTAAAGGCACGGGGTTTCTGCAAAAGCAGTTCCCTTTGCCTGGAAGGTTCTTCTATTTTTCTAGTTTGTTCTTACCCATCTCTGAACTAAGCTCATTGTCATTTCTTCAAGGAGACCCTGACTAACCCTCCCCACTGCCCTCCACATTAGATCAGATTTCCCTACTACATGCTTGTCCAGTGCCCTGTATCTTTCACCCATAACACTTACAGCCATTCACCAAGAACTGTGTGTGATGACTTGATAACTATTTCCCCCATTAGATTAAAATCTCCAAAAGGGCAGTAACGGATCTGTGTAACTCACCACTGTATTCCAGAACCCAACAACCATGCCTCGGAAATGACAAAAGCTAAAAGTATATCACATGAATAAATCTATACAAAGCTATAATTCATATGTACAAAAGATCAGGCAGACAATTAGTTACAGGGGTTTAAGAACCCTAGATCACTTCAACTTGAGAAAGCTAGTTTATATGGTATATAAAGTTCACGTAGTAGGATAAACAATCTTATACCCAAAGCTGAAAATGAAAGGTCAGCCCTTCGGCAATAAAAATCCAATAAAGCCCTGCTAACACGGCTCAGTGGTTGAATGCTGACTTACGAACCAGGAAGTTATGGTTCAATTCCTGGTCAGGGCATATGCCCAGGTTGTGGGCTTGGTCCCAGACGTGGGTGTGCAGGAGGCAGCCGATCAATGATTCTCTCTCATCATTGATGTTTCTGTCTCTCTCCCTCTCCCATTCTCTCTGATATCTTCTATCTATCTATCTATCTATCTATCTATCATCTATCTATCTATCTGTCTACTAGTGTACATATAAAATTGAAGCAGGGATGTGGCATGTCTAATGTGTTTTATAGAAAACTTAATGTGGAGAATGAACTTGAACTGAAAGAATAAGACAATAGAGACAGTAAAAATATTTGAAAGAACACTGTAGTAATACAGGCACAAAATGAAAGGGAACAGACAGATGTGAGAAACACTAAGAATAAAGAGCTATCAAGACTTAAGAATTAATTAGATAGAGGAGTATAAAAGGGGAAAGGGTCCAGGATAATTCAAGGGGTTTATAGTGAGTGATCAATTAAAGAAAGTATAATTAATAGAAATGGGAAATCATGACCAAGTCTTAGGGCAGTGGTCAGCAAACTCATTAGTCAACAGAGCCAAATATCGACAGTACGATGATTGAAATTTCTTTTGAGAGACAATTTTTTTAAACTTAAACCTCTTCTAACGCCACTTCTTCAAAATAGACTTGCCCAGGCCGTGGTATTTTGTGGAAGAGCCACACTCAAGGAGTCAAAGAGCCGAATGTGGTTCGAGAGCCGCAGTTTGCCGACCACGGTCTTAGGGGATGGAATGTGCTTATTTGGAAGTGATGGGTAACATCCACACAATTAAAGATGTGAGACCAGATGGAGAAAAATCAAGGCTGGCAAGGTATATGGTATGAGCTGATTACAGTTAAGGTTACTAGAGTGAGTAAGATCTCTCAAAGGGAGCAGATAAAAAAAAAGAAAAGAAAAAAGGCCTTAATAAAAGTCCTTTAAAACCATTTGATTTGCCCCTTGCTTGAATTATGTTTATTCAGACTGAACTCCTTAAGGGCATGTTTGCTCTCATCCTTGCATTCTCTCAAGTATATATTACAAGTGCAGAATAAGTAGTCTATTAAGGGAGTCATTTATTTTAAAGATACTTTCTGATTAATATATCCTGTTCCACCTGCACTTTGTATTTTAAAAGGTGGTGTCCTAGGTAGTACTTTGAAAGGAACAGTCTTCACTTGAATATAATCAGTGAGTTTAGACAGTTTAAGATTTCATTTATCCAAAGATCTTATTTCCCAAGGCGCTAAGAAAGTGCGGGGGGAGGGGAAGGTGGCACTTTTGACAGCAAACTACTGAGCCAGAGAAACCAGACTTTGAGACTGTGAAAATAAAATAAGCTCCCAGTGAGACTAGGACTTAAGAAAATCCCCACAAGAAGTAGGGAACATTCTTCAAGAAGGTTTTGAATAAAATTAATCAGAAACTATTTACTGAAATTAAATAAAAAATTTCAACTGTATGCACTCTACACATTGGCAAAGTACAAAATGTAAATAAGTTTTCGGATGCAATGAGAGATAAATGAGATAATAAAAGGGAACTGAGAACAATGTAGACACATACATTCTTAAAAACATGAAGGGAAAGTCATTGGCCTGCTCTCCCACAAAACATTTCCTGGATATTCCGGTCAATGGTGGAGTCCTGGGCTAAATCTGATTCAATACTTAGGCAAACAGTATTTCCCAGGTGCAGATTAAAAATAAGAAAAAGGACTATCAAAATGGATCAGGGGAGCGAAACTTGTAGACAGCCCCAATTAAATGATCAAGGGTTGCAGCACGCCAAATGCTCTAAGCCTGAATCATAAGCAAATGTCCCAGGACCAGGAGCTTCGGGAGAGCTGAGCGTGTGTGTGGGAGAAGTTCGGGGAAGAGAAAAGAAACCGGTTAGAGTCACAGACTCCAGGAACCTGACAGAGCCATCTATAATCTAACTACCCTCTCCATCTCAGACTGACTTCCACCGCAAGCCTAAAAGATCGCCAACCAGGGTGCACCGGCTCGTCCCCAGAGACAGCAAATGGGACTATCGATAAACGGACCGTTCAGAATGAGACGGATCTAATTTGTTGCAAAACCCTTTGAAGGTATCGCCCAGTAGTAACTTTCACCTCTGGCCCTCGATCTCTCCCGAGCAACACAAGGAAAGCCCTGTTTTGTTGAAGCTTAAAACCACCACCACCACCACCACCACCAGGTATTACTTCCAGGCATGCCAAAATGTTCCCTTCTTTCAATAATAGGAAAACTGGATCGTCCTTTTTCTAGATCTGAGTGCCCCTTAAAGGAAAAAAAAAAGAAAAAAGAAAAAAAGCCAGGCACAAGCTAAGTTCCTTTAGACTCTGGGCTGCAACCTCAAGAGTAGAGAGAAGGGGCTTAAGTAACTCACACACCAGACGTTGCAACTGATAGGAAACCCCATGGCCATGGCCAAGAAGCAGGCTCCGGCCAGTGCCCCATGGTGCCGGGATGCGACCGAAGAAACGACACAGACCTGGGGTGTGCAGAGAACGAGAAGCCCGCACCTCTGCTGGCCTAAGCCGCGGGGGGCAAGGGGAGTGCTCCTCCCCCGGCCGCCCGCACACCCCGCGCCCCAGGGCAGAGCCCCCGGCCCCGGAGGGAGAGGCGGCGCCGCTCCGGGAAGCGCTGGCAGATCCCAAGCCGCGCCCGTTCGCCCAACCAACCACCCTGCCCGCTGGACGCCGCCCCGAGAACCTGCACCAGAACCTGCACCGGTGGGAGCTCTGGGAGTCGGAGACGGCTCCGGCTCGGCCTGGGTTCCGTCCAGCACACCCGCCTCCCCTCCCTCCCGCACTGCCCCGCGCAGAGCAGAGTCGGGGGGTGACCCCAGGGGGTGGTGCTCCAGAGGCGTACGGTATTAGGGGGTGAATGCTGCGCGCCGGGCCCGAGCTCCCAGGCTGGCGGCGGCGGTGGCGGCGGCGGGCCACTCACCGAGAGGACGCTCATGCGGATTGGGGTCTCCAACAGGCACGCCATCTTGAGCCTTCCCACCCGGCTGCAGCGGACGCCGGCGCGGGGGCCGGCACTTTCGACAGCAAAAGTATTGGGCCCCACCGCAGGTACACTTGTACGGAACGTCGGGCAGGTAAACGAGAAATGGACCACGCTCTAGACCCTGCGGGAGGCTGGCCAGTCCCCGCGGAAGGGAGAACAAAGGGACGCCGCGCTGGGGGCCGCCTCACGAATCGTCCGCTGGGAAACAGCAGCTACGCTAGGTCTGGGCTAGAGGTGGGAGCGGACGGCAGTCCCCGCATGCGCACAGGGCATCTGCGGGCCCCACCTGCCGCGCGAGGGGGCGGGGCCTCTAGGGGGCGGGGCCTCGGGGCGGGGCCTCGCTTCGCCGCTCCTAGCCCCGAGTACCGATTGGTGGGCATGAGTTCCCGTGTTCCTAAGCCTTAGCACCCGTGTGCGAACCCACGCCTGTCGTTGGAAGCATATCGATCGCGCTCCTTCTTTGCACCCGACTTGTAGCGTCGCTATCTCTATTTTACAGGCGGAGGAACCGCGATCTCAGTTCATTGGCCTTCAGCCGCCCAGTAAGTTTCAGCATCCGACGCTCCAGTGTGCCATGCTTTTAGCCTTGTTTGGCCTTACCCGCCTATTCCATTGCTGTGTTAAGAGATATAATAGATACTCGATGCCAAAATCGGTTTGGGTTTGGCTCGGTGGATACAGCATCGGCCTGCGGACTGAAAGGTCCCAGGTTCGATTCCCGTCAAGGGCATGTACCTTGGTTGCGGGCAAGTCCCCAGTGGGGAGTGTGCAGGAGGCAGCGGATTAATGTTTCTCTCTCCCCTCTCTCGAAGTGAGAAACATCGATCAGCTGCCTCCTTTTGCACACCTGCTACTGGAGATGTGCCCGCAACCAAGGTACATGCCCTTGATCGGAATGGAACCTGCGGCCTTTCAGTTCGCAGGCTGACGCTCTATCCACTGACGCTCTATCCACTGGTTTCGGGTAAAATATATATTTTTTTAAAAAAGAGAGATATTCGAGTCAGAACGTCTGGGTTTAATCCTTGCTGCTTCATTCACCGGCTGCATTGCCTGGGCAAGTTACTTAACCTCCTTTAAGTCAGTTTTATCTTCTGTTAAAAAATGGTTAGGAGGATGGAGAAGGTAAAGCTCTTAGAACATGCCTGGAATGTAGAAAGCGTTATATATGTTAGCATTTCCCCAGCCTCTGGGTCAAGTAGGGAAAAAAAAGGGCGACACATATCTGAATAATTCACACTGAAACGCTCTGATAATTGAAGCCAAATGAAAATATGCTTCTAACTACAGTGTCTCTGATGGATGAGCTCATCTCTCCCACTTCGTGTGAGTGTGTGTGTGTGTGTGTGTGTGTGTGTGTGTGTGTGTTCGGGCAGGTTTCACCTTCGTGCTGCTGGTAACCAGGAAGGTTGTTGCAATGAGCCTGTTCCATTACTTGTTTTTCCATTTCTAGAAGCCACTGTCTAACTCAGGCTGTTATTACTTCTCCCCTGGGCTACAGTGATAGCCTTCCAACTGATCTTGTAGCCTCCACCCTCTCCTTCACTTTGCTCCTTACTGCTTTTCTAACTCCCGCTGTACTTGGCTTCTAAATTTATTGTAGCATTAACCATCTCTGCTTATGGGTCCATGTGTTCCCCAAAAAACTGTTGAGTTTCTGGAAAGCAGGAAATTTTGTTTTAGATTTTCCTTCTGCTACAAGACTATTTCTCAAACGTTAGTAATCTGCATACCATTCTCATGATCTTTGCCGATCTGCAGCCAGGTATTATTATTCACTCAATATCTTTCTAAAGCTAATTTAAAACCATTAGATAATTTTACCCTCATCCTAAACTGTAATACTCTTGTAAAATCAAGTTTATTGTATTCTTTATTTTTATTCTAGTATGCATTAACATAACTAGTACAAAATTTAGAAGTCCATCCATGTATCACCTAAAATCATGTCTTGTATTGCATACTCAACAACACAAAACATAACCATTACACAGCTCATACACAGGGGCATCAGTTGGTTTTTCAGTTGATATTTGCATGGTATAGAGTTGTGATAGCTGTGTTTGGTCCACACTTTATCTATTAGTTCAAGCCCTACATCCTTTCCCCACATTTAGGTTAGGTGTGTTTCTTCATCCTTCTGTTTTTGCCAATAACACAGCATTTCTAACAATATAGTGTAATAATTGTTTGCCTGTTGGTTTCCCCTTTATACATGATATGGCAGGCACTGGGAAATTTATCTTCTATGTATCTTGTCTCACTATGTACCTTAGAATACTCAGTAAATGTTTACTGAATGAATTTTTGGCTTAGTTTAGGTGCCACAAAAGGCAGATCCTGGGACAATGATTTGGATACTAATAGTTTGAGAAAAGTTTCCAAGGAACAGAAGTGATGGGTCAGGGAGAGTGAGAAAAGAAAGAAGAAAAAGTCAATATAACCACCTATTATTAAAGTTATGTTTATTTCTTTAAGACCTCTGAGAAACATGCAGAATGGCCCCCTGGGTATCCATCTTGAGGTTGGAGCAATTATTTTCCATTTGCATCCTGTTCAACCTGGTTGAGGTTTTCTCCGGGGCTGGTAGAGCTTCCTATCATTCTGAATTGTTCTTGTGCCCAGATTAGAGAGGACTTCCTTACTTGATGTAGAAAAGCAGAATCTGTGGGTAGGTGTGTTTCACAAAGGAGAAGCAAAGATAATTTATGCAGTTGAAATCTGATCTTTTCACCCTTTTCCATTCAAGAATGGAATCTGGAGGTCACAAAACTTATAAAGGAGTGATATTGTGTGTCTGTCTGTGTGTGTGTTTTCTGATGAAATCAGAAAGTCCGGTGAAATGTCTGACAAGTTTAAGATTCAGAGGCTAGAGACACCACACAGAACTCTTTTTATCCTTCTAGGATGATGTTTGCTTCTGTTCACTTCTGTCTGTCAGGGCAGACTGGCTCTCTCCAGAGTTTTCCCAAGTGTGCTGCCATCTGGCGGTAGTAGGTGTCATAATCACCAAGTTCAATTACAAGATCCTGATAGCAAGAATGTTATGTTTTTCCTGATGTTTGTAACATTTTATACACTCACTTGAAAACTCATTGACCACAAATCTCCATAGCTCACTCCCCTATTCATGAAGGTTTCTTTTCAATATGTCACCATATCATAATGGTCTTCCAGAAGCATCTATATTTATTCATTAAGTACCCTACTACCCTCACCATGACATTTCCTACCCACTTAATCTGCGCTATTTTCAAACATCTATTTTTTAAACACAGTTCTTACTCTCTGAGTCATTTATTTTTCTCCAACTCTTGTTTGGCTAGATTTACTGTCAAGTCTCCTCCTCCTCCTCCTCCTCTCCCCCTTTCTCTGCCCCCCCCCCCCCCCCCCCCCCCCCCCCCCCCCGAAATTGGCCCGTGGGAATTGTATCCCTGGATTATTATTTTAATGGTTGAAAACAGCTGCTTGTTCACTTTTTCTTGAACATATCTTGACTAATACCACATACAGGAAAACAGGACACATTTTAGGTATTTTAAGCAAAAAGATTAGAAAATTGTTGAAAGAACTAAAGATGCAAACTGGGAGGGAGAATTTTACTTGAGATCAGGAAAAACAGGAAGTTCACACCACTGAGGGAGCCTGGGGTGCTGTGTTGCCACAATCATTGCCAAAGCCAGAAGAGAAAAGAAATCTTTCTTCTACTTTCTACTCTCTGGCGAGAGAAAAATTATGAGTTGTATTCTAAATTTAAAAACACCACCACACAGTTGCCTGAGTGAATAGTTAGCCTCTTAATAGCTGTAGACCAGCTCTGATAATCCCAGGAGCCCCACTTCATATTTACTCATGACCTTTCCAATCTGCTGCCCACAGTGAACCTCCAGAGGCGTGGACACTTCTTTGAGGACCCTTTTGCACCTATCCCAGAACTAGCTCCACTTCACTTTCTCCCACCCCTTTTGTCTATAGCTAATGTAACTCCTTTCAGAAAGGTTTACATCTTCCGCCCCTACTTCATGTCTTAAAGCACTTGCAAAAATCTGGGACAAAAAGCATGTCTTTCCTGCCTAACCATTTTATGGGTAGTTTAGACATTATGCTCCAAGATGAATTTTTTCCCTAGCAATGGTCTAACAAACCTTTTCTCTTAAAATGACTTTCAGCCTTGGAAACTAATTTTTGTTGTTGTTTAACATCTTACAAAAGTGTTTCTCACTTGCAAAACCTAATGCAGACCTCAGCAGGCAAAGAGTGTTTCAGAAATACATAAATGGGTTGAAAATTGCTGGGCTATACCATCTATGAAGTTCACCCAGACAAAAACTGCCTAACAATGCGTTTCTCAGAATGTATCCCTCCCTGTTAAGGAGTGCATGGCTGTATTGTCATTTCTATGAAGTTTAAAAACAAGCAAAGCCGATCGGTGGTGATAGAGGTTAGAATAGTGCTTTCCTTTCATAGTAAGGTATTATATTTGAGAGGAAGCACGAGGGAATCTTTGGAAATGCTGTAAACAATTTATATTTTGAGATGGGCAATGGTTGTGTGTTATTACATATGCAAAAAGGCACCAAAATATGCACTTAAGATTGGATTTGTTCATGTTACTTTAAGCTAGCCCTCATTTAAAATATTTTAAATAGAGGAAAAGATCTAGAAAAAGACAATTCTTTTTTTTAAAATATATTTATTGATTTTTCACAGAGAGGAAGAAAGAGGGATAGAGAGTTAGAAACATCGATGAGAGAGAAACATCGACCAGCTGCCTCTTACACACCCCTCACCGGGGACGTGCCGCAACCAAGGTACATGCCCCCTGACCACAATCGAACCTGGGACCCTTCAGTCCGCAGGCCGACGCTCTATCCACTGAGCCAAACCGGTTTCGGCTAGAAAAAGACAATTCTTATAGATTTAATATCAAATGAGAAAAGTTAATTTAGCAATGTTATATATTTTAAAAATCCAGTACAAAAGGAGAATAAAATATTAAAAATAATGGAAAATGTTAAATTTCCATCTTTTCTACCCTTTTGATCATTTTAAATATCATAAAAATTATATGTTCCTTATAAATTTGAAAGAAAATGTTCACAAATCACTCTGGGTACAATGTCTTTTAATTTGTGTCTTGACAACTTTCCCAGTTTTTCTTATTGCCATTTTTTTCTGCATATATTTGCTTCATTTTGAATTAATGTTGTCTTCAGAATATTATTTAGTATTTTTAAATGAGGAGAGATGGTTAACTATTTACTAAAAATATACAATGGAGTAAGGATAGTCTATTCAATAAATGGTGTTGGGGATATTGAGCAGATACATGCAACAAAAAAAAAAAAAACAAAAAAAAGAAAGAAAGAAAGGAAGGAAGGAAGAGAGAAACTAGACCACTTCCTTACACCATACTCAAGAATAAACTAAAAATGGATTAAAGACTTAAATGTTGGACTCGAAACCATAAAAATCATAGAAGAAAACAGTAAATCTTGGATATTTTTCATAGCAATCTATTTTCTGATATATCTCCTTGAGCAAGGGAAACAAAATAAAAAATGGTGCTGCATCAAACTAGAAGGTTTTTACACAGCAAAGAAAACCATCAACAAAATGAAGACAACTCACTGAATGGGAGAACATAGTCACCAATGATATATATGTTAAGGGGTTAATATCCAAATTTTAAAAATAATTTATACAACTTGCCTGGCCAGCATGCTCAGTGGTTGAGTGTTGACCTGTGAACCAGGAGGTCACAGTGCCCAGGCTTTGGCCTGGATCCCCAGTGTGGGGCAGGCAGGATGTTTCTCTCTCTCTCTCTCCCTCTCTGAAAACAATAAAAATATAGTTTAAACAAAGGAATTTATACAACTTAACACCCAAAAAAAACACACAAACCAATGAAAAAAACAGGTAAAGAGCCTAAACAGACTCTTCTCCAAAGGAAACATACAGATGGCCAACAGGAACATAAAAAGATGCTCAGTGTCGCTAATCATCAGAGAAATGCAAATTAAAACCGCAATGAAGTATCAGCTCACACCTGTCAGAATGGCTACCACCAGTAAATCAGTTGTTAGATATACACTGAAAAGGGAACTTTTAGTGGGAACTGAGTGGGAACGCAGACTGGTGCAGCCACTGTGGGAAGGAGTATGGAGTTACATCCCCAAATTAAAAATGGAACTGCCTTATGACACAGCGATTCCACTAGTAGGAACTTCTCAGAAGGAATCCAAAACACTACATTGAAACACTATAGATGCATTCTTATGTTGGGAGCCATCAGAGTTGAGACAAGCAACTCCTAAGAAAATACAACTCCATCTTAGAATTAAGTTCCTTCTAGCAGAAGTTATGTGGTGCCCTGCCGGTTTGGCCAGAAGCTAAAGATTAACCTGCCACTTAGCACATCTTGCTCCGGAGGATCTCTGCACCGTCCCCTTCCTGATCCTCCCCCATAGCTAGCCCAGCCTTGGAATGTTACTCCTTGGAATGTTACACCGCCCTGGCAGTTAGCCAATCCTATGTTGCCAGATACCTTACCACCTTGTCACTCAGTGCCTAAACGAATTATACAGTCAAAGACCCCGCTGCGAAGGCGACCCTGCCCCTCCCCCCCTTGTTCCAGCTGTATATATACTGCCATTCCAAAAATAAAGTTTGAGGCTTGATCAGAACTTTGTCTTGCCTCCATTTCTCCGTGCCCCTGTCCCTTCTTTTCATCCTCCACGGGTCCTCCCTCTCCCCACGTTGCTGTGCCCCGCAGGTAGGGGCACCCCTATACTCATTGCAGTGTTATTTACGACAGCCAAGACCTGGAAGCAGCCCAAGAGCCCATTAGCAGATGAGTGTATAAAAAGGCAGTGGCACATTCACACAGTGGAATACTATTCGGCTGTAAAAAAGAAGGAAGTCTTACCCTTTGCGATAACATGGATGAATCTGGGGGAGCATCACGCAAAGTGAAATAGTCAAAGACAAGTACCATATGATTTCACTCATTTGGGGACTCTAATGAACAAAATGAACTAACAAGCAAAATAATGACAGACTCCTAGAGAGCTGGCTGACAGCGGTTGGGGCGGGGTGGAGGAATTGAGAAAAAAAGAAAAAGAAAAAAAAAGAAACCAAAAGCCCACGCAAAGGGACAACTGTGTGGACGACAGCCTGGTGATTGCGGGACAGGATGGAGGTGGTGGGGTGGAGGAGGGACTAGTGTAAGGCGACCAGATGTCCCGCTTTTGGCAGGACAGTCCCGATTTTTAACAATTTGTCCAAATTGTTTTTAACAATTGTTTCCAAAAATCGGGACTTTTTTTAAAAACGCCGCGGGACTCGGGACAAATTGTTAACAATTGTTTCCAAAAATCGGGACTTTTTTAAAAACGCCGCGGGACTCGGGACAAATTGTTAAAAATCGGGACTTTCTCGCCAAAAGCGGGACGTCTGGTCACCTTATTATAATGGTTTTTATTAGATTAAATATCAAATGAAAAAAGCTAATCAGACCGCTCAGACTTAGTGACCTTAATCCTTTCCAAAAACTCCTGGGAATTCTCGGGTTAATCCCGTCTCATCTCTCGCGAGATTTGGAACCGGAAGTGAAATATATTTCAGGCGCCTGGACAAGGTGGCGGCTCAGTTCACGTTGGCGGGAGGGAGCCGAGCGATCGATCCGTCGGGCTTCGGCTCTTCGATCGGGGCTCGCTCCGCGCTAGGGGGTTGCGGGCAGCGCGCCCCCGCCCCGGGCCCGGCAGGATGCGGGTGGCCGTGGCCGGCTGCTGCCACGGGGAGCTGGACAAGATCTACGAGACGCTGGCGCTGGCGGAGCGGCGCGGCGCGGGGCCCATCGACCTGCTGCTGTGCTGCGGCGACTTCCAGGCGGTGCGCAACGAGGCGGACCTGCGCTGCATGGCCGTGCCCCCCAAGTACCGCCACATGCAGACCTTCTACCGGTGAGGCGCGGCCCCGGACCCGCGGCGGGAGGAAGCTGGGCTGGGCGTGAGTCCCTCCGTCTTAAGTGTCCGTCTTCTTCGTTCACGCCGCGTGTCTCTAGGACCTGGCGGGCCTCCAGGAAATGTCACTTCCCTCTCTTCCCCTGTGTGATCGATCTGTTTCGGGAGGGGTCGCAGCCTGAGGATAGACACCTGAAGGAAGAGGCTGAAAGGTTAACCTGCTTGTACTTGATGGGATTCCGGCACTCCGGTGGACGCCGGGATCCTGGAGTTTTCATGAGGCGCCCTGCTCCGCGCTAATCCAGGTTCTAGAAGCTGAGAACTGACAACGTTCTTGATCTTTTTTTTTTTTTTAAAGTATATTTTATTGATTTTTTACAGAGAGGAAGGGAGAGATATAGAGAGTTAGAAACATCGATGAGAGAGATGGGAGTGAAACATCGATCAGCTGCCTCCTGCACACTTCCCGCTGGGGATGTGCCCGCAACCCAGGTACATGCCCTTGACCGGAATGAACCCGGGACCTTTCAGTCCGCAGACTGACGCTCTATCCTCTTAGCCAAACCGGTTTCGGCATGTTCTTGATCTTGATCTTGACCTCTCTGCACCTGAAACGCGAGGTGCAGCCCTTCGTTCTTAAGAACAAGGATAGTAGTAGACACTTTAAACAATGCTTTGTTTTATTTTTCATTCACAGTTTACGTTAAGTATTATTTTGTATTAGTTTTCAGGTGTCCAGCCTAGTGGTTAAGACAATGATCTACTTGACAAGAGCGTGGGCAGTTTGTTTGGAAATTGCTTTTTAAACTTTAAGGGATGAGCTCAGGTTTTTTTCCTTCAGGACCTTGTTTTGGTCTTCTGCCGTGTCTAATTGTACAGGCGCCCCTGATTGCTTTTCTCCATGCCTCGTTTCTGCTGTGCCAACGGACAGCTGTGCTCTTATGTTCCAGGTATTACTCCGGAGAGAAGAAGGCCCCTGTTCTCACAGTCTTCATTGGGGGAAACCACGAAGCCTCAAATCATTTGCAAGAGTTACCCTACGGTGGCTGGGTAGCACCAAACATTTATTATTTAGGTATGTGTCTGTGGGTACGTTCTCAGTTTGATGGGATGGAAAAGCCTTTTAAAATTTGTATACCAGTTGGCCAGCATCTTCAGATACATGGTGTTTTGAGAATGTCTCTTAATTTGAATAGGTATTCATGAAAATATGTCCATGCTTCATCTAGTGTTTTAAGCAGTAGATAGTAAAACTGCAAAGAACTTACATACTACTTGTAATTCCTTTATCCCCCCCTCCCCTTTTTATTAAATGAAAAAAATGTGAACTTGTTATTGGAAATTGTTAAACATACACAAACTAGAGAATAGTACAGGTTTTCCTCAGTATTGGAATGTAGAGCATTCCTATGAACACTTTCATAAGGGGAAATTGTGTAAAGCAAATAAGCAATTACCAGTAATTTAAAAATCACCAAGGCGCCAAAACCGGTTTGGCTCAGTGGTAGATCGTCCGCCTGTGGACTGAAAGGTCCCGGGTTCGATTCCTGGCAAGGGCATGTACCTTGGTTGTGGGCGAATCCCCGGTGGGGGGTGTGCAAGAGGCAGCTGATCGATGTTTCTCTCTCATCGATGTTTCCAACTCTCTATCCCTCTTTCCTCCTCTCTGTAAAAAATCAATAAAATATATTTTTAAAAAAATCACCAATGCTGTGGTAACGTTAGAAAAATTTTTTTTTTTAGTTATTGATTTGAGAGAGAGAGAGAGACAGACAGACAGACAGACAGACAGATTTCTCATTTTACTTATTTATGCATCCATTAGTTAATTCTTGTATGTGCCCCTACTGGGGATTGAACCGGCAACCATGGCTTATCTGGCTAATGCTCTAACCAACTGAGCTAACTGGCCAGGGTCCTACCAATTACCATTAATTTACATGCATAAATTTTGAGTATTCCCAGACCTAGGAAATAACCTTCTAAATCATACCAACAGGTTTAATTATATCCAGTTTTTGTTAAGTATAACTCCTTTACAAGCTCTGTTAGGTTTTTGTGCTACCTTCGGACACATCTAGCTAATAGATGCACAAAATAAATCGAGATAAAGCACAGATGCTCAGACACAGTTCAGAGCTATGTGGTAGCTCCTAGGGAAGGGGCTTGGTGGGGCCACTGTTCCTGCTTTGGATGCAGGCTACAAAACAAGCTATTTTGGCTTTCACCTATTTTCATTAAAGCAAGAATCTTCTTTGGCTTTCTTTCAGTTAGTGAAAACAGGCACTCTGGAGAGAAAAAGGCTCCAGTTCTGTAGGTCTGTCATAAAAGTGAAATTGTGTAACACAAACTTTGGAAAAGCTGGGTATTTCTGAATAATGAATCTCCATACCTATTAACTAGTTTCAACCACAATTATTCTGCCATCCTTATTTCAACCCACCCACCCCTAAACTTTTTTGGTGGGAGAAGTTGACTGAAGTTATTTTAAAGCAAATTCAAGCCATGATATTATTTTACCTGTAAACACTCAGTACATATTTTTTAAGTGATAAGGATTTTAAAAAATACCCACAACTGCAGTACCATTGTTAAACCTAACTAAAGTAGCAGTAATTTTTTATTCTCTGTTGCCTCATTCATGTTTAGATTTCCCTGATCCTCACAAAGCTGTCTGTTTTACAACTGATTTGTTCAATAGGATCCAAACAAGGTCCATGCATTTCATTGTCATGATACTAAAGTCTCTTAGACTCTAGCTAGCTGTTCCTTTCATCTCTTTCCTTCCTACCCCCATGCCATTTATTTATTTTATTTTATTTTAATTTTTATTTTTTAAAAAAATATGTTTTATTGATGTTTTTTACAGAGAGGAATAGAGATTTAGAAACATCGATGAGAGAAAATCATCGATCAGCTGCCTCTTGCACACCCCCTACTGGAGATGTACCCGCAACCAAGGTACATGCCATTGACCGGAATCGAACCTGGGACCTTTCAGTCCGCAGGCTGACTCTCTATCCACTGAGCCAAACCGGTTTCGGCCATGCCGTTTATTTGTTGAAGAAAATGGGAAATTTTCTTGTAGGATTTCCTGCATTCTGGATTTAGCTATTGAGTTGTTTAATGTGTTCCTTTTGTCCTCTGCATTGCCTGTAACCTGCATTTAGATTTAGACTTGGTTAGATTCAGGTTCAATGTTAGCCCCTTTAAACTCTATAGTCCTTTTTTCTGAAAACCACAGATATTTAAATTTTCTAGTTCATTACTGATTGATTCGCTTTTGACAAGTGCAATATTATGAGAAAGTGAAATTTTTTGAAGATGGTCAGTTTAGAAATGAAATATAGAAACTGCAGGTTCTTTATACCTTATATGTGCTGACTTCATATATCATATATATGACTTTATATATCATATAAATCCATCATACGACACTTTTTGCCTATTCTCACACCACACCCTCGTATTCCATTAGGTACCCAATTTTGTCTATTTCCCTCTAAGCTCATCTATCTCATTTTTTTTTTTTTTTTTCATTTCTGCTTAATTTCTTGACTGACTTGCTTTTAGGCCTTGCCTCCTCAGTCTATTTTTGGCATATTACTATGAAAAGAGTAACCTTATCATGATACTTTATTTTCAAATAATTTTAGTACTTCATGGAATTTTAGGCCTGGAAACTGTTCAGTCAGTTAGTAGAGATTGCTTTTGCCTATAGTAATCTTATTTAACTGTAATTTCTCAGGTTTGGCAGGTGTGGTAAAATACCGAGGTGTAAGGATTGGTGGAATCTCTGGTATCTTCAAATCTCATGACTATCGAAAAGGTATTGTTGTCCTGACTGTTTTTAAACTTTAAAACTTGCATGCCCCAGAGTAACTTAAGCGTAATATATAGTTTGCCGTTTTCATTGGATTTCTTCTATGAACTAATTTATTCTTAAGTTTATATTATGAAATATTTTATGCCTATGGAAATATAGAGGACATAGAATGTATTATCTGTGTAGCCACATCAAGTTTCATCAAGACTTAGTATTCTTGCCACTTTTCATTTTGATTCTTTTAAAAAAATATATTTTATTGATTTTCACAGAGAGGAAGGGAGAGGGATAGAGAGAAACATTGATGAGAGAGAAACATTCATCAGCTGCCTCCTGCACACTCCCCACTGGGGATGTGTCCTCAACCAAGGCACATGCCCTTGACCCGAATCGAACCTGGGACCCCTCAGTCCACAGGCGGACCCCTCAGTCCACCCCTCTATCCACTGAGCCACACCGGTCAGGGCTCATTTTGATTTTTTTAAAGAAATAAAACAATATAGATACAATTGAAACTCATTATTGTCAGTCCTCAGTCCCATTCCTCTCTTTTTATCCTCCCTTTCCTCATCAGGTAGTCACTGTTCTGAATTTGGTGTTTATCATTCACTTGATTATTTTATCTCATTACTGTGTTTGTACAATAATAGCTTTAAGTAGTATGTTATATAACATGTTTTAAACTTCATATAAATGTGTCATTTTGCATGTGTCTTTCTGCAACTTGCTTCTTTTATGTTTTTGAAATTCATGTTGATACATATAACTCTAATACATTCATTTTAGTTTATGAATAGTATTCCATTGCATAAGTACAGTTGATCCTTGAACAACGCAGATGTTAGAGCCTCTAACTCCTGCATGGTAAAAAAAAATCCACATGTAAGTTTGACTTCCTCAAAACTTAAGCTGTCCCCTGGTATTTGTGAGGGATTGGTTCCAGGACAATCCCCCTCCCCGCCACACACACATGTTGTGGATACCAAATCCATGGACGTTCTATTCCCCTATGTAAAATGGTGTTATCAATGCATACAGTTGATAATCAACATCCGTATATTCCCAACTGCATATCAGAAACAGTACAGGGATTTGTTGAAAATAAAATCATCTGTAAGTGGACATGAAAGCAGTTCAAACTTGTGTTGTTCAAGGATCATCTATATACCACACTGCACTTATTCACCCTACAATATCTGAGTGAATTATACCTTGATTTTAAAATTAAAGGAATAGCTTGTATTCATATTTTATTTTAAAATTTCTTGTATTAAGCTGGGCAGCTAAAACTATCCTCAATATAACTGTTAAGTCACAAGTTTGTGGCCTGTGCCCTGCTCTCTATGATTATAAACTGTTGGCATGGACATTAAAAGTAAGCCGTCTCCTACATGGCAGATGTGCATGCAAAGTGGAACCACTCTTCAGAGGGACAATTGGTAATATCTGCAAATTCTAAAAGTACTCTAACCCAGGAGTTCTACTGCTAGCAACGTGTCTCTAGGGATATTTTGCATATGCAAAATGATATATGCAAATTTATTGATTTCAGCTTTGTTTGTAGTAGCAAAGGTTAGGAACTAGTTCAATATACCATGATATAACTATGCAGTTTAATGCTATGACGCCTTTAAAAAAGTAAAGAAAAGGAAAAAGAAGTAGTTCTATATGTAACTAATTTGAAAAGTACTCCAAAATAAGTGAAGTGAAGAAACAAGGCACAGAACATGTATAAAGTATACAGCCATTTATGTAAAAAAAAAAAAAAAAAAAAAAAAAAAGGGAGGATAAAGAAATAGATGACATGTTCTATGCATAGATGATACCCCTAAAATGAAATTCTAAAACCTGATTAACGCTAGCTGCCTCTAGGTAGTGTTCCTGATGGCGGGGAAGGAACAGGAGGGACCCCCCTCCATTGTTTTGGCAGTTTCATTGCGATAGAATTTATAGACCATTGCAGGTATACCATTCGATGGTTTTAGTAAATTTATAGAGTTATGCATCCAGATTTTACCACCATCCAGATTTAGACCATTTCTATCACCCCTGAGAGTGTTGTGCCTATTTGTAGTTAATCCCTGCTCCCACCAGCCAAGGCATCCACTGATCTATTCTCTAGGAGGAACACGTTGTCTTCTAACCTTTCCGGAGGTATTTTTTAAAACTATGTGAATAAACAATGTGCTTCCAAATTAAATATAATTTCATTTTAAAAACTACAGGTCCCCAAATTTAGATTCATAGTTTGTGATCATTTAGTAACTGAATATATCAACATATAAAGAGCAGTCTTTTTTTTTTTTTTTTTTTAAACTTTAAGAACCAAAAGCATTCATAGCAGACACTAGTTGTAGGGAAGTATGTGTATCTATTTATATAATTTGCAATATTTAAAGGTGTTGAATACAGCTTATTTCTCTCCTTCAATTTAAGGTCATTTTGAGTGCCCTCCTTATAATTCAGCTACAATAAGGAGTATATATCATGTGAGAAATGTTGAAGTGTATAAATTAAAACAGGTATGTAAAAAGTACAATATGGCAGGCATGAAAAAGTGTTAAAGTAATTCTGTACCAAAATGTGTTTGATCATTTTGGTATATTACTTTCAAGAAGAGCATAATTCAGTATTTCTAAAATTTGGATTTGAGTTGTTTTTAGGAAGTTCACAGATGAACATTAAAAAAATTCTTATGGTAATAAATTTTTTTAGTGAGTAAAAATAAAACATTCAACTCATGATTTCAGATATTATGCTAAGGCTAAAATATATTGGAATAAAGTGATACTTTAAAGAAAATATTATAATATATTTTTTAATTTTAAAAAAATATATTTTATTGATATTTTACAGAGAGGAAGAGAGAGGGATAGAGAGTTAGAAACATTGATGAGAGAGAAACATCAATCAGCTGCCTCTTGCACGCCCCCTACTGGGGATGTGCCCGCAACCAAGGTACATGCCCTTGACTGGAATCGAACCTGGGACCTTTCAGTCCAAAGGCCGACGCTCTATCCACTGAGCTAAACTGGTTTTGGCGAAAGAAAATATTATAATATTTTAAAGAATGGTATTAAGTAGAAAATAAATAACAGTAAAGATGACAGAAGATATGGGAAAATCATGAAAGTGGTATCTGGAGAATAGGTGAAGCTAGGTTTTTGTTTGAGAACTATTTCAGTGCCTGGCACTGGGCTAAGCAGTTTTCACACGACATATTTCATATTTTCGCCACTCTAATTCTGTCAGATTGAGAATGAGAGGCCAAGACTCAGATGATAAGCGACCTACCCAAGATCTCCCAAGTAGTTAAGTGGCAGAGCCTGTCTGAGAGAACGCAGGCCCTTCCCACTATACCACACAGCCTCTATGGAAGCATAGGATGCTTGCACGCATTCGATGCCCTACTCATAACAGTTTCTTACTTTGAATGTTTTTTCCTTTTCACCAGTCTAACTCCTACCAGTCCTTGAGACCCAGGTTCGATACTACTTCCCAACCAGTGTTCTAGTTTAAAGTCATCATATTTCACTGAAAAAAACATTTTTAATCCTCACCCGAGGATATAGTTTACTGATTTTTTTTTTTATTTTTATTTATTTATTTTTTTTTAAGAGGGAGAAACATCAATCGGTTGCCTCATGTACTTGTCCTGACCTGGGATCGAACCTGCCGTCTAGATTTGTTCCCTGATGGGGAATTGTACCAGTAACCTTTCTGTGCACAGGACAGTGCTCCAACCAACTGAGCCACACCGCCCAGGGCTTAACTGAATTTTCATTGCATGTATTTCCCATACCAGTTATTCAGTCATATCTTTCTTATAGTTTGTATTGTCTTGAACACTTACTTGTTATTTAAATTTAGTTTTCCAAGTATGGGATAAGTAAAGTATGGACTGTATTTTGTGTTCCCCATGAAGAACAGCCACCTTAAATACTTCTAATGTGACTTACGTAGTAAACAGAGTATTTTTGGTATATTCTATGAGTCCATTAGGAAAATAGTGGACTATTTATTTAGGTTTACTGTATCATTTACATTAGATGTCTTATGAAATGTGGTGTCTCTGGATCGTAAAACAGTGGTTTGTTTACCAAAATGGGAAAAGCACAGTGGTTATTACATATTTTAGAAACCCGATGCAAAAGACCATAGCTGATTGGCAGTCTAATCAAAGTGTGTCTCTGTTAACATGCCTTGCTGGGAAATAAGAATGGTTTGTGAGGCAGGGAGAAATAGGTGAGTGAATAGGTTAGTGTTTCTGTGACTTCCTTACTTGAAGATCCTTAGAACGATTTACACAAAAATCCAGAGATCTAAGTGGATGAATGGTATGTGTCAGGGGAGAGAAGGAAGGGCATTTGCTTGTGGTTAATCTGTTTTTAAGAGGTTTTTTGTTGTTGTTGTTGTTTTGTTTTTTCCTGTTAAAGCTGAAGCAGCCTATGGACATATTCTTATCTCATGATTGGCCAAGAAGTATATACCATTATGGAAATAAGAAGCAACTTCTTAAGACTAAATCTTTTTTCCGACAAGAAGTGGAAAATAACACCTTAGGAAGTCCTGCTGCCTCAGAGCTTCTAGAGCACTTAAAACCAACTTACTGGTTTTCCGCACACCTTCACGTGAAGTTTGCAGCCTTGATGCAGCATCAGGTAGAAAACACAGTATTTATTCCTTCATTTAACAAACACTTATTGAACATCAGTGGGCTACCCACTGTTGAAACAGTTGTAAAGTTAGAGAAAGAAATGAAAGGTAACTTTCAGAATCCAATCTGGGGAAGAGATAAGTAAGCAAGCAATGATAAAAGAGTGTAATAAGTTTGTGACAAAAAGTCCTAGGGCACTGTGGGAACACCTAAGCCAGACTATGTGGGCAGAGAGATGAAGCAAGAGAGGCTTTTCCGAAGGAATTGCTGGTGCAGGAAGAAGTAGACTATGAGATCATCTATGAGGAGGGACCCATGTGTGCCAAGGCCAGAGGCTGAGAACAGGGCGCCTCTGGGGGATTGCAGCTCGTTCCCATGGTGGAGGATAGATGCTGAGGCGAGGTCATAGTGCCGTGCTCTGGAGTTTAGGTGTTAGCCAGAGGTAGTGGGGAAAGTTGGAGGGTGATGAAATACAGATTTTCATTTTTGAAAGATTAGTTTGGCTAGTTTTGCAGATGGATTGGAGTGATACAAAATAGGAAGTACAGGAGGTTCTTTAAGCAAAAGATGAGATGGTAACCTAAGGCAAAAAAGGGACACAGAATAAAGCAGAGTCTAGAGCAGTGGTTCTCAACCTTTTTAATGCCGCGGCCCTTTAACACAGTTCATCATGTATGGTGACCCCCAACCATAAAATTATTTTCGTTGCTACTTCATAACTAATTTTGCTACTGTTATGAATCATAATGTAAATATCTGTGTTTTCCGATGGTCTTAGGCTCTACAGCAACTGCTAGCAGGGTCACCTAAGACCATCGGAAAACACAGATATTTACATTACGATTCATGAACAGCAGCAAAATTACAGTTATGAAGTAGCAACAAAAATAATTTTATGGTTGGGGGTCACCACAACATGAGGAACTGTATTAAAGGGTTGTGGCATTAGAAAGGTTGAGAACCAAGGGTCTAGAGAGATTTTGGAAGTAGAATCATCAGGATTTGGTGATGGAAGGAGGAGGGAATCTAGGATGAGTCTAAGTTTGCCTTGGGTAATTGGCATGGTGGGAGTGCTTAATAGAAGGCAGAGAATAAATATATACCTATGATTAGATTTTTATGGAAATACGTGGTTCTTTGTTTCACCTCCGATTCAGACTAAACTGACTTTCCCATAAAATGTTTCCAAAGGAAAATATTTAGAAGATGCTTGGTTCACAAAGTTAGGAGTCCTTGGAGGCTTCTATAGAATTTCTGAGTCTTGAACGTATTAATTACTGGGCATTGCCTTACTTCAAGAGTGGGATGGGGTTTACAGTGCTTCCCAATCTTGCTTGACCAAACACTTTTCAGTGGTAGAGGTCCACTTTAGCTCTGCAGACCTAAATAAGAGACCAGTTTCTCCTTTCATTTTCCCAAGTCCTCGTCATTTATTTTTATATCAGTTGCCTTTTCTTTCTTTTCTTAAAAAAATATATATATATTTATTGATTTCAGAGGGGAAGGGAGAGGAATAGAAACATCAATGATGAGAGATAATCGATTGGCGGCCTCCTGTATGTCCCCCACTGGAGATCAAGCCCTCAACCTGGGCATGTGCCCTGCCTGGAAATCAAACTGACCTGATTCATAGGTCAAAGCTCAACCACTGAGCCTTGCCAGTCGGGTTCAGTCACCTTTTTCACATTTGAGTTACTCTCTTCTGTCTCTCAGGGCTCCTCACATGCTTGGATTTTTATTGAAGTATCTGATTTGCTACCTTTCCCCACTGCATCTTCTGTTGTCAACCAGGGACTTTTACCTCAGTATTAACAACATATTCGTTCCCTTTTCCTTGGCTCCTCAAGCTCCTCTGACTTTGCCGGTGTTCTCTCTTAGCCCCTTCACCAGCCCCAAAGATCACCTTTCTTCAGAACTGCCCTGCAGCCAGGATAGTCTGTAACCTCTGTGCCTTCCACCTCTCTGAGTCCCTCTTCAGCACTGAAGGTTGATACCTGGTCTGCAGCAGGACATCCCATAGCTTGTTTCCTTGAATCTTTTCCTCCAGGTGCCTTACTGTTTTCAGTGAGTCACTTTTTTACTGTTTTTAATATGACCTTCTTATTTGTGACCCCTTCTATATTTCTGTTTGACAAGTCACTTTTCAAAAAAAAGCTTTATTGGTGTCCTGGATGGTGGTGCCCAGTGGTTAGAGTAGGGGTGTCGAACTCAGTCAGAGAAGGGGCCAAAATCTAAAATCCAGCCTAAATCGCGGGCCGAATGGTTTACTGAACAGTCATAAACTGTCATTGTGATGGAAACGCAGCAGAGTGCAGTGATGACAGCGCAGTGCGGGCCACATTACAAGGCCTGGCGGGATGGATTTGGCCCGCCGTCCTTGTGTTTGACACATGTGGGTTAGAGTGTCAGTCTTCAACCCAGTGAAGGGTTGCAGGTTCAATCCTCGGCCCTGGTCGGGGTAAGTGCAGGAAGCAACCAATCAATGTATCTCTCTTACATCCATATTTCTTTCCTCTCCCTTCCATCCTCCCTCTCACTCTCTCTAAAGTCAATGGAAAAAATATCCTTGGGTAAGAATTAACAACAAAAAGCTTTATTGGTGTATAATTTACATAAAATTCATTCAAGTGTATAATTCAGTGATTTTTTTTTGTGTGTGTGTGTGCACACATCACATAATCCAGTTTTTTAGTATTTCCATCATCTGGAAAGATCCTTTGTGTGTGTTTGATGTCAGTCCTTGTTCTCATCCTCAGCCCCAGGCAACCACTAACCTGCTTTGTGTCTATGGCTTTGCCCTTTCTGAACCTTTCATATAAATGTAATCATAAATATATAGTCTTTAGCATCTGGCTTCTATTTGCTTATTTTTGAGGTTCATTTATGTTATAGCATGTATCTGTGTTTTATTCATTTTTATTGTTGAATAGTATTTCATTCTATGGGTATATCGCATCTACCTTTGATGTTGTCTCTAAGAAATCTTTCCCTAACTCAAGGTAGTGACGGTTTTCCTCTATGATTTCTCCTAAAAATTGTGTGCTTTTAACTCTGCCAGTTTATTTTTTAAGCTCTTCTGTTATCTTGAATCCTTTCATTATATGTCTTCATATATGTGTTCAGTGCTTTGATTTAACATTATCATCATCACCATTAGGTTCTACTTTGACTTGTGTACGAATGTAAGAAATGAAAGCCAGAGAGTTTAAGTGCCCATTGTTGCACAAGTGAGGGTAGATCTTTGGGAAAGTAACTGTTGTTCCTTTGACCCACAACTTTGTGTAACAAAGATTGTTTCCATCCCATGCAATGTATGAATTGTCTGATGTTCAAACATTCTTTCTTAAATCATGGTTTAGGCCAAGGATGAAGGAGAGACTGCCAAAGCAACCAAATTTTTAGCCTTGGACAAATGCTTACCACATAGAGACTTTCTTCAGGTAAGAAGACAGTGAAATAACTCTTCAATGTAGTTTTACTCTTCCAGTGATTAAGAAGACATTTTATTTTTTGTTTTCTAAATTATTTGTGTATTTTGTAATATATATAGCCTGAGAATTCTTTGGGAATATTTACATTAATATTTTTAGGCTATTAAATTAAATTCCTTTTAGTAACTTTCATTGTTACATTGAAATCCTTAGACATTAAAAATAGATATGTATTTGTTAAAATTACCAATTTGTTTCTCTAGGTAATAGAAATAGATCATGACCCCGGTGCTCCTGATTACTTAGAGTATGATATTGAATGGCTCACTATTCTCAGGGCTACAAACAATCTTATTAATGTAACTGCACGCCTGTGGAATATGCCTGAAAATAATGGCCTGCATACAAGGTAAGCTTGACCTTATTTAGGACTTGCTCTCACCATGCTTGCAAGGTTTTTTTTTTTTTATTATTATTATTAAGAGAAAAACACACCTGTTAATGAGTGTAAGAATAATTCAGGGTTAACAAGAAAATGGACTGTTGAGTACCAACCCAAATAAGTGTATAAGTAATTAAATGTGCACAAAACTAATACGGTGGAGATTTGGTTCACATCAAAATAACTTATACTTGCTTTAGGTTGAACGGACAGCTTTTTCTATGAATTGTTTTTATTTTGAGATGGTCCTTTGTTAAATTAACTGTAATTTTACTAAATGGAATTTAGATGATCATTTATTTCTTATCCTTTTACCTGACGTTCATAGTTAGATTTAATCATTTATTGTCTGGGGCCAATGATGTATAAAAGACCATTGTTTTGGACTTTTATAGGTGGGATTATAGTCCAACAGAAGAAGCTATGAATGAAGTATTGGAAATTTTGAATCGTGACCTCAAAGTTCCATCTAACTTTAGCTTGACTGCTGCTTGTTATGACCCAAGCAAGCCACAGACACAAATGCAGTTGGTTCACAGGATTAACCCTCAGACCACTGAGTTTTGTGCCAAACTTGGCATCACAGACATTAATGTCAGTCTTCAGAAGGCCAAGGAAGAACACCACTTGAGTGGTGAATGTGAAGAGCAGGATGAAGGGGGCAGCAATGACTCTGGAGAGGAGCCCAGTGAATATAACACAGACACCTCTGCCCTGTCCTCTGCTAATCCAGATGAAATAGTGTTAGAGGAAGACGAAGAAGAGGAAGAGGAAGATAGTTTTGTAAGTGCACATAGTGACATGAATACAACATCCCTAGAACCTTCTTCTGACCAGGCCTCTGACTTTTCTGCAAGCTTCTCTGATGTCAGGACCCTGCCAGGTTCCATGTTTGTTTCTTCTGATGACACATCGGGTTCCCCAGTTGGCAGAGAGGGGAAACCTGGCGAGGCTGTGGAGTCTGAAGATGGGACGGACTTAACCAGTGCGCCAGGGAAAAGGCTGAGTGATGAGTCTGTACCCGAACAAAGAAAGAAAATTAAGAGGAGGAATCAAGCCATCTATGCTGCAGTTGATGATGACGATGGAGCATGAGAGTGTTTATTGTCTTCTTGTATATACAGATATGTGATTTTTAAGACCATATTTTTAGAATTGGGTTTTTTGACTCAAGACTTAACTTTGTAATAATGAAATTATATAGAGAATTGACTTTGCCCTTAGGCCCTTGTATATTTCATATACAAACATATTAAAATTTCATGTCTTTACTAGATTGAGTACCCTTATTTTGAAGACAGATTCTATTCACTTTCATTGTTTTCAACACAAACTTGGAGGAGGTTAAAGAGAAGAGGCTTACTGGGGGGCTACTGTCTTAGCTGGGGCTGCTATAACAAAATACTGCAGATGGACTGCTTAATCAACAGACCCCTATTGCTTGTAGTTCTGGAACTGTGAAGTCCAAGATCAAGGTGAAGATGGGGTTCCTGGAGAGGACCCTCTTCCTGGTTTGTAGATAGCTGCCTTCCTTCTGGGTCCTCACCTGGCCTTTCTGTGATGAACGCTTGTGGAGAGAGAGATCTTTGTCTTCCTCTCTTGTAAGAATGCCTCCTTCATGATATCATCCAAACCTGATGACCTCAGAAAGGCCACACCTCCAAATACCATTACCTTGGGGTTCAGGGCTTCATCCTCCCAATTTTGGTGGTGGTGATGGTGGTGGGGGCACAAACATTCGGTCCACAGCGGTTTCTTTCAGCCACATAGTATACTGCTCATTCTCACAGCCACTCAGGTTTTACAAAGTTCCCTGCCACGTGGCACAGGTGGCTCTGAGATGTTTCCAGTTCCTTACAGAACAAAGAGACTAAACACTGACTTACAGAGCTTGAAAGCAAAGCTTGTTCACACAGCCCTCTGCTCTACAACTGGAGCTGCTGTGTAGTGCATGCATCTTGCAGACCCTGTTCTTCGGCCTGAAAGGGTAGTGTCTGTACTGAGAACAACTGTTTTCCCTTATCTCCCTGCCCTTACCCCCATCCTTCCCCTTATCTGCAAGTAAACTTAAAAACGGGGAAAATGACACGTGTGAGCACAGTAATTTCCAGAACAAACCCAGCAATACCTTCCTGATCGCTATGCAAGGTTTTGTACACAGGAGCATGTTTGACGGGTAAGGCAGAGTGGAGAACAAAAGCACTATTGTCAGAAATGCGAGGCTAGAACCATTAGACATGCAGAACAGTTTAAAATATTGTCATGGGACCTGGGGATTTTATGCTGGCCTGAATTCACAGATTTTCAATTAAAAATTGTTTTTTCAGGATTTAGTGTTGATAGTGTCACTTGTCCATAACCCTCAGTTATTCTCACAGGGGTTCCCAAGTGATAGGCTTTGGATTCTCTCTCACTCCACAGTGAACGGAACCCAGGTCTCCAGTCTTCCTTCCAGCTTTAGAACAGTGATGAAAGGAATTGGCGATAGTTTCATTGATTAGAGAGAAAGAGGAAGGGGGGCGGGGAGAAAGAAACATCTATTTGTTGTTTTACTTATGCATTCCTTGGTGGATTCTTGTATGTGTCCTGACCGGGGATTAAACCTACAACCTTGGTATATCAGAAGGATGCTCTAACCTTGAGCTACCCGGCCAAGGCAGAAATTGACCATGTTGATAAGATATCACTCTGTATTGGTTTTGCACTGTTAATAGCGGAATGCTTTAACAGTTTTATCAGTCCCACTTGCTTAACAAATATGTTAAAAACCGGAACTGTGGTTCCAAGGGTTCCAAAGTAAATAAAGCAAGTATTGTTGGCTCGAATATTTCCCTCTTAGGATAAACCAGAGTTCAAAGAAGCTACAGAATTAAGAGGTGCGCTTTTCAAGTGTAATTCAGTTAACAAACAGTTTGTGTTAAAATTCCTTTAACTTCCTTCTTGATACAGTGAGTCCTTTATAGCAGAGGGAGTGTGGGCCCAAACACTGAAGTTTCCCCAACTGAGTTTATCAGAGGTTATCCATGGGGCTGGAGGTTGGAGAAATCTCAGCTCTGATTCCAAGGTTTTCTGTGTACCAACTTTCCTCAGACTAGCTCCTAACATCCAAAGAAGAGTTTTGTAAAATAAAGAAAATACTGGGATAATTGAATGTAAAAAAAACAACCCACTGGATTCAGAGGTTTTGCCCTCATTCTGTCCATTTATTTGGGGCTACATCACTCCACCGTTCCTAAGGTCTTATCTGTCAGTAGCAATTAACCCAGGCTCCATAGTCCATTGTACTGACCAAGCCTGGCTCACATTAGACTGGAGGAAGCAGGAACTCTCATAGGAGGCCAAAACTTTTGGGAAAGTAGACAACATCGGATACATATGTGGCTTACACCAGCTTGTCCAGACCCATCCATTGCACATCTCTCAAATACCTCTCCCCGGGGTTGCTTGGCTGGTCGGAACAAGCCTATCATTGCAGGGGAAGACATTTGGAGGAATTCTGAACAGTTCATGTCATGGAGCATCAAAGAGCAGGGACATTCCTTAGGCAGGTACTATGTAAGAGCTGTGCATTGGTGGCATTCAGGGCAAAGGGACTGGTGCAGATATGGCCCCAGGGTCCCCAAAGCCTGTCCTGGGAGCCTCTAGGGCACATGTGTCAAACTCAAGGCCCGCGGGCCAAATCCGTCCCGCCAGGCCTTGCAATGTGGCCCGCACCGCGCTGTCATCACTGCACTCCGCTGCTTTTCCATCACAATGACAGTTTATGACTGTTCAGTAAACCATTCGGCCCGCGATTTAGGCTGGATTTTAGATTTTGGCCCCTTCTCTGATTGAGTTCGACACCCCTACTCTAGGGACCTGTGGAGTCCAGGTTAGGAGCTGCTGCCATGGCATCTGCTCAGACTGACAGAAAGTCCGTGTGTTACAGGCCAGATAAGGCGGGAAGGGGAGCAGATGGAAGGGAAGGCAGTTCTGTTTCCACCATAGGGAAGGCTGAAGGGATGATCTGGGGGCCCTGGGCGTTCCTGGCAGAGTGGCTCAGGTGACAGGAGGTCTCTTCAGAAACACTCAGGAAGGACATCAGGCTGTGATCCCCAAAAGGCCCCTGACTGCTGGCTTCTGTGCAGGTCTCATCAACTCCCACACAGCGACCAGGATTCCTTCTTAAAGGTTCTCAGGGAAATAGTTCTCACTCATCTGAAAATAACAATTTAATGTTTGTCATCAGGGAGTCAAATACCATCTACAGTAATAGTGTTTCATTTTCTCCTGATTTCCTTGATGAAAAGTGAGAGTTGCTGGTCTGGCTGGTGTGGCTCAGTGGTTGAATGTCGACCTATAAATCAGGAGGTCAAGTTTCTATTCCCAGTCAAGGCACACACCCGAGTTGTGGGCTCGATCCCCAGTGTGAGGCATGCAGGAGGCAGTTGATCAATGATTCTCTCTCATCATTGATCTTTCTAGCTATCCCTCTCCCTTCCTCTCTGAAATTAATAAAAACATATTTTTTAAAAGTGAGAGTTGCTTCTTCAGTTTACAGAGTCCTTCACCCTCACAACGTGCCTGTGGTCAGTTATTTCTCACATGAACAAAGGAGCCGAGGCTCAGAGCAGTTTTGGGACTTGCCCTGGTGCCCTCAGCCTGTGGTGGGTGGAGGCATGATTCTAAGCTTAGTCTTCTTTCCATCTGCATGGTTCTTGGTCAGATAGGTCCTACTTTCCGTGTTTAGGATTTCACTGTATCGCTAGTGCTCGCCTTCACCCCTGTGACAAAGACCACCAACTACTTGACTGACCGCTGCCTTCACCACTTCTTCAATGGTCTTGGCCAGTGGTCGGCAAACTCATGAGTCAACAGAGCCAAATGTCAACAGGACAACGGTTGAAATTTCTTTTGAGAGCCTAATTTTTTAAACTTAAACTATATAGGTAAGTACATTGTTGTTAACTTAATTAGGGTACCCCTAAGCTGGCCTTTGCTAAAAACTCAAGGGGCCAAAGAGCCGCAGGTGGCTCACAAGCCGCAGTTTGCCGACCACTGGTCTTGGCCATTGTGCAGATGGTGGGAGGCACTGGATACCTGACCCACCAGAAATGCAGGTGCTAGGCATGTGTCACTCTACAAAGGGATCCCTCTAGTTATGCCAGAGGGGGAGCAGGAGCTCGGCTCTCCCCTCCTCCACCCTCCAGAAGGAAAAACAACCCATCCATCCAATGCTGAGGGGACTTTGGAAAGATGCCAAGTTACCCTGAGCCTAGACGTGATGAGGTCCAGAGAAGAAATTCAGCTTCAAAGGCAAAAGATGTGTATACAGACTCTGAGAGCTGTTCCTGAAAAGTGCTAAACAACAAGAAACTATTGATGAGTGGAGAGCTTTACCTCCCTTGATGCAGGACCTGCTATGTCCAGATTCAATGTCTGCTCAGGAGGGGACACCCCAGTTTACACCAGAGCATCCAAGGGGAACTGTGGGTAGTTGTTCATGGCTGAGAGAAGGCTCTGAGTGAGGATGGTTTCACTGAGCTTTGGGGCACAGACTACAGGAGAGTGACTCTTCGGAGAGGTGGGTGACACATCAGCAGAGGGCGATGAACTTGACCTTGTGAGACTTGGAGGAAGCTATACCTCACAAGGGGGACCTCAGGGCAAAGGATCCTTCCTGAAGCCACTGTAACTGTGGCTAATAAACTCTGGTTCCAATCATCAGGACCTTGGATTACCAGGGTTGTCCATTGCTTATTGGTGGTGATGGACTTCTTCTACTCAAACCTGTGTTTGCAAAGTTTGACCCAAATTACAGGGTTGTCTGGTGATGAAACTTTCCCAAGTCTCTGCTCATGATTTGGATCGAAACTACACTGCTCAGGTGCAATATCTTTTAGCTTCAGGGCTGTCTTCAGCTTTCTTCAGATGAAGCTGTCACCCTATAAACACCTCCCCTATCTCTCCCCACCCCCCTGACCGATAAATTCACAAATAGGCAGGATTAGTGTGTGGGTCACCTGAAAAATTGTGTGAACCCTTTATTGTCCCCAAGTCTCTGTGTTTGGGGGAACTTACTAAAGGGAGGAGCTTTCTGAGAACTTGTGTTTAGTGTTAATCTTTGGCCAATGGTTTACTTCCCTCGGTTGTTGAGTTGGAAGATTAGGTAGTGATTTATCAAAAAGTATAGCAGGAAAAACTTGTGGTCATTGCCGAGACTTGACTTTGGCTAACTAGTTCCAGGCAAGAAGGTAAGTTCTGATCCATTGGCTTTGCATTTTCTAAAAGAGTCATATGTAATGGGAGAAATAGACCATTGAAAAAGTGAGATCTGCTCGCCTGGAGTTAGAGCTAATGTTTATGGAGAAGGGGGTCCTACAGGGATAGTCAAACCCAAATTAGAGGCTCTGCTAGCTGTGTGATCTTGGCAAGTTCTTTAACTCTAGACTTCAGATTGCTTCCCTGGTTAATTTTCTTCTTAATTCTATTAGTTTCTTAGTAAATTTTCTTGAATTTTTTAGGTGGGCAATTATATTTTCTATAACTAGTGATGTCTTTGCCTCATCCTTTCTAGAATTCATAGCAGACATTCTTTTTTCTTGTTTTATTGTTTTGCTTAGACTTAGAAGAGGATCATTGATCTGCTGCCTCCCACCTTCTGTTGAACAGAATCGTATCCTGTTCTTGGCATCTATTCACCAAAATGATCATGCAGCTTTTCTTCTTTAATCTATAAGCTAGTACATGTGATTAATAGTTTTCTGTTACTGAAGGATTCCCCCTCCCCCATTTTGAATCACCCTAAATTCCTCAGTTAAACTCCAGTTGATGTATTTTTCTTTTGAATACTGCATGACTTGATTTGTTGATATTTCATGTGGGATTTAAAAAAAAAATCTAAGCTTAGAAGTGATGCTCTTTTATTGTTTATGCGGGTGCTATGTTTGTCCGTTTTTGTGGATGTGGCTTTTAATGAATTGTGTTGACTTCCAGGAGCGGCCAGAAGAGAGACATGCTGAGGGAGCTCCAGCTCTCCCTGTTGGTCATGCTGATGCTCTCCTGTGGCTTCCTCTTCCAGCTCACCCTGAAGTCCAGCTGCCTCTTCTCCTGCCTGCCCCCCGACAAGTCCCAGCAGGGGCTGGAAGCCCTGCTGGGCAAGGGACGCAGCATCGTGTTCCTAGAGACCTCGGAGAGGATGGAGCCGTCCCCGCTGGTCTCCTGCGCTGTGGAGTCCGCCGCCAGGGTTTACCCTGAGCAGCCGGTGGTGTTCTTCATGAAGGGTCTCAGCAGTTCCACGCCGCTGCCCCCAAACTCCACGTACCCAGCCTTTTCCCTCCTCTCGGCAATAGACAATGTTTTCCTCGTCCCTTTGGATATGAAAAGCCTGTTTGAAGACACACCATTGTCTTCATGGTACACTCAAGTAAGTGTTCAGAGAATCTTAGAATGCCCGTGTTGGGAGGGACCACAGACAACCTACTCATTCTATAGAAGGGTAAATTGAGGGTAAGGACTCAGTGTGAGAGACAGGACTAGAACCTAGAGCTTTTAACTCTTTTATTATTTTTAAAATACTATACGTTTTTTTGATTTTTAGAGAGAAGAAGGGGGAGGGGAGAGAGAGAGAGAGAGAAAGAGAGAGAGAGAGAGAGAGAGAGAGAGAGAGAGAGAGAGAGAATGATGAGAGAGGATTATTGATCGGCTGCCTCCTGCATGCCTCCTACTGGGGACTGATCCCACAACCCAGGCATGTTCTCTGACTGGAGTGGAACCGTGACCTCCTGGTTCATGAGTCAATGTTCAACCACTGAGCCACACCAGTCAGGTGGATCCTTTAACTCTTGCCTGGATTGAGCTCTGATTCAAGTAATTGGGAGAGACCACAAGTTACTTACCTGTTCCTGCTGCCTTTTGCTTCTAGCTGTGTATCTTAGTATCTAGGTTCCATTCTTGATGGAATGAGTTTCTGTATTTTTTTCTAGCTGTTTATACTTCTTATTTTTCCCTGCCAGTTTTAAACCCATCCATGTTAAACTATTTTTGCACATTCAGAGGAAACTAGGCAAGATTTCACTTGAAAATTATGTAAATAGAAAATTCAAAAGGGATCGGGTGGGGTACTCTGTATAAGATTGGGTTATGTTAAGATTTTAGAGGCCCAATGCATGAAATTTGTGCATGGGTGGGATTCCTAGGCCTGGCTGGCGAACAGGGCTGATCTGTGAGGTGACCAGCGGGGCGATCAGGGGGCCTCTGCTGGTAACACCTTGGCCAGCCTGGTGCTGCCCGCTTGCTGGCCCTGCCCCCTGCCACCTCGGCTTGCCGCCTCTCTCTGTGGAGCAATCGGCGTGGGGATTGGGGCCCCCACTGGCACTTGCCTTGGCTGGCCTGGGGCCTGTGGGCTGGAGGCAGCTCCTGCATTGAGCATCTGCCCCCAGGTGGTCAGTGTGCATCACAGTGACCAGTCATTCCACTGTTCGATCGATTTCCATATTAGGCTTTTATTATATAGAATGATCAAGAAACTCCTGGAAATCTCAGAAGTTTATAATCTTCATCTTAGTAAAATAACAAAATAAGGAAATAATATTTCAATTAAGTATTTCTCTCATGAGAACCTGGAATCATTCAATGATTCCATTATGGAGTTTTAAATGGTGCCACCTTATGAAGGCTACAACATAAAATTAAATACTCTTGCATTATAATGTAAGATTATTTTAGCTATGCAACTCCCCTCCCCCAATCTATTTGGAAGAAAAAGACCTGAAGAAAAAACACACACACACAAATAGTAAGTGTTTTAGTATGAATTGGGAGTGAATTCAGTGATGAAAATATGTTAATTTTATAAAATTAATTTTTGAAAAGCTACTGAAATATGACATAAAAATAATAACATTTACTTACTATATGAAGTCCTATCTAACCTGTAATCATAGGCTAGACCCGTGGTCAGCAAACGGCGGCTCTCTGGCCCCTCGAGTGTGGCTCTTCCACAAAATACCACGGCCTGGGCAAATCTATTTTGAAGAAGTGGCATTAGAAGAAGCTTAAGTTTAAAAAAATTTGGCTCTCAAAAGAAATTTCAATGATTGTACTGTTGATATTTGGCTCTGTTGACTAATGAGTTTGCAGACCACTGGGCTAGACCAAATGTTAGAAAGTATTTTCTCCTTAAAGGGCCAGAAAGGCAATACTTTAGATTTTTTTTGCAGGTCAAGAGGCAGGATTGAGGCCATTTATGAAGGTACTTGTGTTGATTTCCTAAGGCTGTGTGATAAAATGCCACAAACTTGGTGACGTAAGGGAATGGAAATATATTGCCTCCAGTTGTGGAGGCCAGGGATCCCAAACCATTATCACTGGGTGGGTATCAGGGTGCAGGCAGGGCCCATTCCGCCCAGGGTGCGGGGGGCTCTAGAAAACACTCCTTCCCGTGGAGCTGGTCACTCCAGCCTCTACCTCCGTCTTCACATCCCCTTTCCTGTGTGTGTGAACTCTCCATCAACCTGACTATAAAGGACACTTACGATTGCATTTAGGGTATTCCAGGACAATCTCTCCATCTTAACCCGCCCAATGTAGCACATCTGCAAAGACCCCTTTCTCCAGGAGGAAGCAGCTATAGGTCCCAGGGCTTAGGACCTGGTATCTTCGTGTGGCCATTATTCAGCCCACGACAGTACTTATTTACAAGAGGAAAACTGTGCCACCTGCCTGGTCCCTCTGGGGCTTTCCTGGGTGAGGGACACACCTGCCCCTAGTTGTTGTCAGCTGGAGAGGTTTTGTAGACTAAGTGACAGGCCTGAGTGAGTGTGAGTGTGTGTGTGTGTGTGTGTGTGTGTGTGTGTGTGTGTAGGGGGAAGGAAGGGGTAAAGGGGATTGCCTCATGTGACTTTGCTAGTAGATCCCAGCGCTCCCATCTCTTCCCCTGAAGAGCCAGGAAATCTCAAATTGGTGCCATGAGCAGGAGGTGGAGCGACCCACCAGACTGAGCTGTTATCTGCAGTCGCCGGCACAGGGTTTCTAACAAATATAATAGGTGACAGGACTAGCGCGGCCCTGGCCAGCGGCAGGCTGGGTCCCTGCGGCTCTCCGTGCTCTCCCGCTAGGGGGCGCTCCAGGACTGTACGAGACCAGGCAGCCTGCTGGCTCTGGCCCCCGCCTCCCCACACCTGGGCTCAACAACGAACACCACCTAAGCTGCGTTTTTTGCTCCGTGGGAAGAGAAACCTCAGTTTAAATTGTTTGGGGAGGTGCTACATCATTCACTTTTCACAAACTAATCATACACCAGGGCTAGTGTCTAGTGACCCTTGGTGGGGGGAGAGGGGACTGGTGTGGTTTGTCCTGGCCCAGTGAGACCACCTCAGGATAGCTGGGGCCAGCTATTCGGGATGACCCAATGTGCCAGGGCAGCTGGGGAGGGCCAGCAGGCCAGCTTCCCAAAAATCTATTTGCCAAAAAGCCCAATTTTGCCTAGTCTCTTGCTGCAAACCCACCCCGCACCCCTGCACACACACACACACACACACACACCCCGCTGGGGCTGATTGCACCTGCTCCTGCAGGTCAACGCCAGCGCAGAGAGCCACTGGCTGCACGTCAGCTCGGACGCGGCCCGCCTGGCCGTCATCTGGAAGTTCGGGGGCGTGTACCTGGACACGGACGTCATCTCCATCAGGCCGGTCCCCGCGGGGAACTTCCTGGCGGCGCAGGCCTCCCGGTACTCCAGCAACGGGGCGTTCGGCTTCGGCGCGCGCCACGCCTTCCTGTGGCGGTGCATGGAGAACTTCGTGGAGCACTACGACTCCGGGGTCTGGGGCCGCCAGGGCCCGGACCTCATGACCAGGATGCTGAGGGTGTGGTGCAGGCTCGAGGACTTCCGGCGGGAGCTGGGCGACCTCCGGTGTGTGGACGTGTCCTTCCTGCACCCCCGGAGGTTCTACCCCATCCCCTTCCCCGAGTGGAGGCGCTACTACGAGGTGTGGGCCCCGGAGGAGCCGAGCTTCAACGGCTCCTACGCGCTGCACCTGTGGAACTACATGAACCGGGAGGGCAAGGGCGTGGTGCGGGGCAGCAACACGCTGGCGGAGCGCCTCTACCGTCAGCACTGTCCCAGGACCTACCGGCACCTGGTCCGGGGCCCAGAGCGGGGGGTGACTGGGGAGTTGGGCCCAGGGAACAAATAGGGCCAACATGCTTGTTGCTGCTACATCATGGAACTAGATACACACTTTCCTCGCTTCCCCCCTGACCCCCACTTTCCCCAGGGGCGTGGTGGGGGCTTGCCCTCATGTCAGGTACCGTTAGCTTCCTCTGTCTGTAGTAGAGAAGTCCCAAAGCCCCTCCCTTGTCCTGTGTCTGAGCCAGGGACTGACACCGGTGCCACCAAATCTTGGGTGCCCTGTGGCAGAGGTGGCACCGCAGAGGTGACAGCTTCCCCAGTGCTAAGGAATCTAGTCCTCCACCCACTCTCAGTCTCCTCTGGAGCTGGGACAGAGCCTGGCACACTATGGGCACTCTAGAACGCTTGGCTGTGTTGAATGTTGAACGCTGCCCAGCCCAGCTCAGGGAGGGATGGGAGGGTCACGCGCATGGCAGGTTATGGTCAGCCGAAGATGGAGTCTCCGGCGTTTGGCCTTCCCGGATAAGGAGACCAGGGTGCATGCCAAGTCCACGTTCTCACAACAGCCCTGCCAAAGAGGGCGACCCATTTACCCGGGGGGAACCGAAGCTGGTGGAGGTGGCAATCACAGACAGCTACCCTCAGAGCTAGTTCTGCACACGCCAAGGATACGCGGGTAAGGGAGATGCAAAGCAAGTGCTCTAAGCCCCAGGTTTCACGCTGGGCTGCGCTCAGAGGACACACACTGACTGCCAGGCCCCGGGCTGAGCCTAGAGATGCTTTCGCTAAGTTGTGTCTCATAATGACCCTGCTCCGTAGAGTTTCCTTTCCAACACTCATCGCCCCCGCTGCCCCCCCCCCCCCCCCAGCTTTACAGACAAGTTAAGGACTTTCCCGGAGGCACACAGCTTGGGAGTGTGGAATGTAAATGAATCTTTGACTCCAAATCCTAGGCTCTCCCCTCCCCTGCAGCGGATAGTAGGAACTCCTGGAGAGATAAGCATGCCCAGGTCCTGGTCGCTGCCCCACTGAAATTTTCAGCATTTTAAAAATTGGGATAAAATATACATACCATAACACTTGCCATTTTAACAATTTCTGAAGTGTGCAATCCGGTGACATTAAGGATATTCACATTGTTGTGCAACCACCACCACCACCATCTCCAGAACTTTTTCGTCTTCCCAAAGTGAAATTCCGTACCCATGAAGCACTGACTCCCCATCCCCTCTCTGTCTGCACCCCCTCTCAGCCCTGGTGACCACTATTGCCTTTTCTGGAATATCTCTACGAATGTGACTATTCTCGTTACGATGTACGGGTGACATCATGTAATATTTGTCCTTTTGTGCCTGGCTTATTTCTCTTAGCATGATATTCAAGGTTCATGTTATAATGACTATCAGAATTCCATTCTGTTTTAAAGGAAATTCTGTTCCATTGTATGTATGCATGGGCCACATTTTTAATCCATTCATATGTCGATGGGCGCTTGGGTTGCTTTCACCTTTGGGCTATTGTGAATAATGCTGTTAGAAACTTGTATGTACAAAATTTAAGTTTCTGCTTTCAGTTCTTTTGAGTATACACCCAGAAATGGAACTGCTGGACCATATGGTAATTCTGTGTGTAATTTTTTGAGGAATCGCCATCCCCCTTCCTTATTATTATTATTATTTTTTATATAGCAGATATACCATTTTTTTACTCCCACCAGCAATGCTTGGGCTTCCAATTTCTCCACATCCTCGCCAACACATGTTCCCACAGGCTTTTGCTTTGGCTGCACCAAGATACAGAGCTTGGCAGATTGACACTGGGGTGGGAGAAAGGCCTTAAAAAAATTCCCCGAAATCTGAGTCTCAGTAAAGCAAGGGATCAGGACTGATGTCAGGAGAGAAAGAGTTCTTTGGTCCTGGACCTCACGGCTAGATGCACAGGACAAGCCAGCAGGCTTAGGGGGGTGGTGACAGGATAGTTGACATCTGACCAGGCCTGGGACTCACCGAAGGGACCAGCTCACCCAATGGACCAGAGTGGGACAGATAGAAACCAGAAAGGTCTCTTTAGACTAGGGCCAGGGAGGTGTGTGTGTGTGTGTGTGTGTGTGTGTGTGTGTAGCAGCACAACAAGCCTCCTGGGGCTCCTGGGAGCCATTCACATAGGTCCTGGGGTTTTCTAAGGGATTAAACCCAGCAATCCCTCCTTCCTCCTCCTATAGTTCTAAAAATACCTGAGGTGTGTGTGTAGGGGGGGCAGATGGTGGTGGTGGTGGGAGGAGGGAGGGAATGATGACTGGGGGAAGGCTCCACCCCTCTTTATCATGGGGGGTGGGGTCCCTGTCTGGGGGTCCTGATCCGCTGGAGACCCTTGGCCTCCAGCTGCTGAGAGGCTCTCTTGTCCTGGGCCTGGCACACTGGCAGCACTGAGGTGGCCAGGTGGCTCTGTTCCTGCCCTCAAGAGCACCAGCGTCCCCAAGGCTGGGGGAGCATCCGGGCCTGTAGGGCGGTGAGGATCCCAGCAATGGCCTGGGGCTGATGGGGCAGTTCAGGGAACTTGGAACTTTTCCAAGTTCCAGGCTGAGAAACAGAGCTGGGAGCTCTCGCCATGCTCCTGTCTCCTGGGACCCTTTGATGAGCCCAGGTGCACGGGAAAACTATGCCGGACAGAAACGGGGAGGGAAAATCCTCGCAGTCCTGGTAATCAGTGCCAGGGGTGGCAGGAAGCCAAATAGCTGCTGCAGACTCCCTCAGGAGTCTTGCCCCGGAGCTGGGGGCCTGAACCTGGGCTTGGCCTCCAGGGGCCAAGCCTGGCTCTTCACCCTCTGCTTTTTAAGTTTGCTCTGAACCAAGGTACCCCCAGAGAGGAGTGGAAATGACTGCATCCCGGGAGTGGGCTTCCAAGGGAGAATAGCCTTGGATTTGAGGTGGCAGTATGCTTTAAGCTCTGTAGGTAAAGAAGGGGCATCTTTTAGTCATGAGAGGATTTAAAAACAAACTCATTGGGTCTCAGTTCCTCCCCCTGTGCCCTCCGGGCCTGGAGCTCAGCAGGAAGCAGCAAAGGGGTTTTCATTGAGGTGGCTGCAGATAACAGTCCAGGGTGACTTGCTTAGTACAGGACGAGGGTCCAGAGGCCAGCAGAGGACGGTCCTGGAGGGCTGGGCCGGGGCTGCATTCACCCAGCCCTCCCCAGGCCCGGGGCCTGCTGCTCCTGCACTCTCTCCTGGACTTCGAAGAGCGGCCTGCTGTCCCTGTTACTGATGGTGAAAGCCTGTCTCCCTGCGGGGGTAATGACACAGGCACAATGTTTTAGAAAATGCAGCCACCAGGCACTGACATTTGCTAAGTTCTGTGAGAGGAGGATGTGTGGATGACCCTGTATCACTCGTGTCTGCACAGAGCAGGCACGTGCCATCAGATAAGCCAAACTGGGCCACTTCTGAGTTAGTTACTGTGCCCGGAGTGTCTTCATATATCATCCCTTTAATGACAAGGCAGGAGAGAACTAACCTAAGCAAGAAGCAGACAGAAAAATATTTCCAAGGCATAGAGAGGACTCAAATATAAAAGTCAGAGGGTGGTGAGTCGAAGGACCTGATGCAAAGAAAAGATAATGATCTGGACGGTCCTGCCACTACCAATAGCTGGTCACTGTTAGGCTCTTGCGGACAAGGAAGCTTTATTTCACAGAGCCCACCAGCAGGATGGTGCAAATGGGTGGTCTGAAGGAGTGGGAGCTGCCGCTGCCCAATGATTCCATGATTCTGACCACAGTGAGATCTCACAGAGGAGATGGGTGAGAACCAGGGCATGGTGGCTGGTCACTAAGAGTCCTGTTGCACCGTAAGATTCAACAGCCTTGTTTTGTATGTTGGTTCAGCACAATATCCATACAAAGTACTTCGAGTTCCTGGACCAGAAATGATAGGTTGTCTTCAAGACTATACTACTGCTTCCGCTGCATGTTGTGCACCATCAGTCAACTGGTGCCTACCACACGGTGGCGCTGTGGGCCACAAAGTAGATGGCTACCCAAGGACCTTTTAATAACATGACCTTCTCTGGAAGAGATAACCGGGGTTCTTCCAGCCTGCACCACCCTCTAGGACAGGTAGGGCAGGAGTTGGTGAATTGTCTTATTCTGCCAGGCAGCTCTCTTATGACTAAAAAAACCTTTAAAGACAGGATATAGAGCAGGGACTTGGCTTGCTTTCCTGCTTATCTTTGTGTTACCAGTCACAGCTGAGAGCCTTGCATGGAAAAGGCAATCAACAGGTATCGATGGCTTTCCACAACCTGAGCTCTCAAGAGGCCTCATTCCTCTCAAGAAGCCTGAAAAATCCTGTAACCTCGTTGCTTCCTCAGCTGCTGTACCAGTTCATTTACAGATACATTTAATGGACTTGTCTATACCTGCTGCATCTTGGTGCCCATTCCTGCCCCTTGGATACACCCAGTCATCACTGAATCTCAGCTTTGGCTGACGTGCCCTTGAGTTGCCCTAGAACTGTCCACTCCTCCTTAACTTTCCAGCACACATACATAACCCCATCACTCACTGCTACCTCCATAACCACCACTGCTGGATATTTGTCAGTATAATCCTGGGGATTCTTGCCCATTTGTGAAAGCAGCTTTTACTGTAGAAAGAGGGGGGCCTGACGAAGGGAGTCAGGAGCTCCGATTCAAACCCTGACAGCCTTACACTTGTTTCGTGACGTTGGGAGAGTTATGTTAACTTGCTTCTCATGTCTCCACAATTTATAGTATTCTAGAATCGCACGAATGCCTCAGGCTTTAGAAATTCACTTTTACCTTTAAAAAGGCTTGTCAATTTATTAATTAGAACCGGAAAGTCCTTTTGATATTGAAAAAAAAAATCCTTTTTCTTTTTCTTTGTTCTTTGAAAATTTAGAACTGCCTCATTTCAGAATGCTTACAGCCTATATTTGTAATCAGCATCTATTTCATGGTTCTAAGCCATTTGTCACATAATTGTCTTTTTTCTTTTTCTTTTTGCTTTAGAGTTAGTTCTTTTGTGGTTAATCTATAGCAGAAACAAAATGACTTTTGAAAAAGCCATTTAGCTCTGACTGGTTTGGCTCAGTG